TATTTTAATTCATGGGTAATTACTTCATTCGGTTTTGTTGAAAACCCATGGATCAATGTATATACCAGAAGGTTAGTGGGAGCAAGATATGCTTTTTATTTTATATGTAGATGATATTTTGCTTGCAACCAATGATAGGTTTGCTGCATGAGGTGAATATATTACTCTCTAAGAATTTTGATACGAAGGATATTGGTGCGCATCTTATGTCATTGGCATTAAGATCCATAAAGCAGATTTTGAGGTATTTGGGTCTATCTCAAGAAACCTATATCAATAAGGTTTTAGAGAGATTTTGAATGAAAGATTGTTCACCAGTGGCTCCTATGTGAAGGGCAATAAGTTCAATTTGAACATGCCCAAAGAACGATTTTGAAAGGGAACAAATGAAGACATTCCATATGCTCTGCTGTCGGAAGCCGATGTATGCTTAGGTCTGTACAAGGCCTGACATTGCATTTGTTATTGGAATGTTGGGACGATATCAAGTAATCCAGGTTTAGACCACTGGAGAGCTGCAAAGAAAGTGATGAGGTACCTTCAAGGACCAAAAACAACATGCTGTATAGAGTTGACGACAATCGGAAGTAATCGTTTATTAGATTCAGACTTTGCTGGTTGTGTTGATTCACGCAAATCAACATCAGGAATGTTTTCATAAGGCTGGTGGAGTTGTATCTTGGAGAGTGTACAGCAGTCCTGACTGCTACTTTCCACTAGGAAGCTGGTTCGTTTCTTGTTTTGAGGCTACTTCACATGGTGTATGGTTAAAGGTTTCATAGCTGGACTTAAATTAGGATTTCATTTCTAAACCATTGAGACTATACTACGATAATTCAGCGCTGTCTTTATGGCTAAGAACAATAAAAGTCGAAGTCAAGTAAACACATTGACATTAAGTACTTAGCCATAAGAGAGCATATTAAGGAAAGAAATGGTATTGAGCACATAAGTACTGAATTGATGATCGCTGATCCTTTGACCAAGGCATGCCACCATTGAATTCAAGGATCATGTTAGAAGAATGGGACTTCATTCACACTATGTAGTTGTTATATAATGTTTGAATAAAATCTTATTTATTGTGATGTTTCTCATATTCATGTCACCTTATTTCTTTTGAGAAAAATTCATCTGTAGGACCAAGAATAAACATAGGGTTTATTCATTAAGTAAGATTGTCATATATAAGTAACTGAGAAATCAAATGCATTGTAATACATGAAAGATAACTCCGTTTATTTTGAGGACTTTCGCCATGATTCGTGTATTGTTTCTTAATGAATAATAGTTAAAAATGGGGACCCAAGTGGGAGAATCTAACTTACGTTACCTTACATTACTCATGTAACGTAAATAACCTTTTGATTTTCATCAGTTTTAAACCTTAATGGTCCAAATTAGTTGTTCAGTTTTCAATGCTTCAGTTTTCAAACATTTGAGATTTATGGCAACCATTAAGCATGCCATTAAGAGCTTGATGGAAGCTTGGCTATGTATATTATTTTGGTCCCTAAGCTCAAGAACTCGATTATACAAAATTATACACCATCAATATTAGAGTGTCTTGAGAGCTTAGAAGAGCCAAATTACAGCTGCGTGGGTTTGTTTCAATGGCTGGAGGTAATTCTTGATTCCTGGTTTATAGTTTAAGAATATTATATTCTTTGTATTTCTGTTTAGATTACAGATAAATGTCTTACAGTCCACTAAGCCGGAAACAACATGACTACTTAATTGGCAAGTTCGGAATGATTAATTTGTATTATGCACCAACTTAAGGGGGGTTATTAAGTAATCTGTGTCGGTGTAAGCTTAAGGGCATTTGTGTATTTTGGCTTAAGGGCATTTGTCTTTATCTACCTACATAGCTGTATCTTGATTGAGAAATATGCAGAACAGCAAAATCAATTTCGTCTTCTCTCCAAAGTCCAAACACGTTTCTAATACATTCAACTGAGATCATCCATTCCCAGGGCCCCAGTTGAAGATAGATCAAAAGATTTTCTGTATGAGGCTTTACTGTGACCCAGTTGGCTGCTGCAATAATTTCTTTTAGGCTATATAATGGGGACAATTTTTAGAAATAGTAGACGTGACATGCTTTTTGTTTTATTATTATTTTTTTTTTTTGTATATTATGCTTTATTGCTTTATATATTCCTTACATTCTTTACTCACCACTTTTCTTTTTTTTATTAACTTGAATTGGCTTTTTTATTTTTTTATTTATGTTTTCATTATCAAAGATAAAGCATGTTATGCTCTACCAAAAGTATCAATAACAAATTAAAATAAGAGATATAAAAGTGCTTCTATCCTCGAACTATAACGGTTGAATTACAATAATCGAGAGAATTAAAGAATTATAAAGTTAAAGAAAAGAATTCTTTAAAATTTACAAAAATTATGTGTTTGATTCACGTTAGCTCACACACCGCGTGTTTTTAACTATAAATTTATTGAAACATATTTTTCCCCTCCAATCACGGCTAATTTGTGGTAATGATCACTATTGATAAGCTAATAGTTTACTGTTATTACATCTACTATTTCAAAATTTTCTTCTAATTATGGTTCATGTCCATGAGTTTCATTCTGGAAAAAAGTTGTCAAACTCCACCACAATCAAAGTTCTTCTCCTGAGTCTCATCATAATTCTCCTCCCCGTAATCCATCTGTTCTTCGTCAACAGTTCCTCAACACCTTGGCTGAACTTTAAATCCTATTTTGACAACATCAAGGAAGGGGGGAAATGCAACATGTTTAGAGGAAAATGGATTCCTTCTCATCAAGAACCTTTGTATACAAATGCAACTTGTCACGAACTGCATGATCAACAAAATTGTATGAAGTTTGGGAGACCTGACAGGGAGTTTCTGAGATGGAGATGGAAACCTGATAACTGTGAGCTTCCTCCCTTTGATGCAAGGAGTTTCCTGGAGATTGTGAGGGGGAAGTCTCTGGCATTTGTTGGAGATTCACTGGGAAGAAACCAAATGGAGTCATTGTTCTGTCTGTTGTCAAGTGTAAGAATTCAATAATCCTGGAAAAATGTTTTCAATGATTCTGTTTACAGCTTTGTCTTCATTTCTGAAACTTTTTTCTGCGGCATTGATTGTTTCCAGGTAAGCACTCCTGAATATGTTTTTCACAAAACAAACAAGTTCAAAAGCTGGCTGTATAGAGACTACAACTTCACTCTGGCAGCCTTCTGGGCGCCGCACTTGGTTAAAACAATCGATGCAGACCCCAATGGTCCGACATACAACCGCCTAATGAAGCTTTATTTGGACAAGGCTGATGACAGTTGGGCAACTGAGATTGAAACATTTGATTATGTAATTGTCTCAGCTGGGAGATGGTTCTATGGACCGCAAATTTTCTATGAAAATAATCAGGTTATCGGCTGCCATGAATGCGAAAGAGACAACATCGAAAAGCTGTCGATGTTTTATGGATATAGAAGGGTGTTCAGAACAACATTTAGTACGTTGATGAACCTTGAAGGGTTTAAGGGTGTGATAATGCTGAACACATTGTCACCGGCTCATTTTGAGAATGGAGAGTGGAATAAAGGAGGGAATTGTAACAGGACGAAGCCGTTTTTAAAGAAAGTGATGGGACTAGATGGAGGAGATTTGGAGATGTATTTGACTCAAATAGATGAACTGAGAATAGCTGAAAGGGAAGGGAGGAAGAAAGGAGTGAAATTCAGGTTGCTAGATACAACTGCAGCCATGCTTATGAGGCCAGATGGACACCCCAACCATTATGGACATTGGCCCCATGAGAATGTTACGATTGCTGATTGTGTTCACTGGTGCATGCCTGGCCCTGTTGACACATGGAACGAGTTCTTGCTTCAGATGTTAAGAATATATGATAGTTGATATAAATAAGAACATTTTTGTTATGATTATCCGCTGAAGTTCTTTGTTTTTATGTAGAAACCATTTGACATACTGCTATATTTAAACAATTTTTATAAAACACCCTTTACTTAAAACTCTGATTGTGGAACAACCTAAGTACTTCTGACTCTGAAAAACAGACTGCAGCTCCGCAGCAGTGTTATCAGAAAGGAAAAAGGAAATACAATGATGCCAAGATAATGTTTGACAAGGAAATGAAAGGAGTATAATCACAGTGCTCTCAAAAGTGGCCCTGACCCTGTATCAGATATGGACAAAGCTCTTAATTGGTGATAAGAACATTCATTTTATAAGGTAAAGTTTTTGTTATACTTTCATCGGTATGAGTTTAACACAACTAAAGGGATAAAAGAATACCCAGATCCAACATTTCATTGGTTAATCTAAAAGACTAATCTGCTTGTGGGTACAGATGAGTTTTAGAAATGCTCACAAAAGTGTCGGTGATAAGATAAGAATACCAACATTAAAGCAAGAAGATTCTTCTTTCTTTGTAGAAAAAAAAGATTGTGTGTCAAATGTGGACAAAAGAATAAGCCAATCGGAGTGCAGGCTTTTCAATCATCAATACTTTGCTGATAAGCCACTCCATTGTCACAAGCACTAATTCAATTAATCATCAATGTCCAGAATTATATACTTCCATCTCAAGACAGCTTAATGCTAACAACCATGAGGTGACTTATTGTAATCTTCATCAAACTTACGGTGGCTACCAGCTAGAAATAGTTGACAAGATCAGAAACCACTGGCCCCAGCTTTCTCTAGAAACCCTCCTGCACACTCACAAGAATAAAATCAAACTAGCTAACTTTTCCAACAAGGAAAAAGTACATGGAAACTAATTTTTTTCAAGCTTTTATTAAGAAACTTCAACTTGAAATAATAAATTATAGCATGGTTTTTCAACAACAAAGGAGAATCAGTCTGTTTACAGCTAAGGTGGACTATAAAGCTTTCAATAATTAACATCATAATATCGGCATTTAAGGTAATAATAAAGGACTGGGTTATATTTTAATTGAGCATTATGATGCCTCACTTTAAAATAAAGCTGTTTTATGATGGCAGTTTGTGGTTTAACCTAAGAATATTTACCTCAAAGATAAAATCTCTAACCCAGATTTCATGTTCAAGATTTAAGAAAACAGATCAAACTGCATCCATATAAATTTAATCCCAAATGCAAAGTTTCTTACTTGACACTACACCATGAAGGTTTATGCCACTGAGCTCAGTTGGAAGATCACACCTTACAACACTCAGAGAAAAGTGTCCTTACTGGCTCTTATCCTGATTCTCTTCGCCTTTATCCATCTCCTCACAAATAATTGTCGGTCACCCTTGCTGTTTCGTTACTTTAAAACTAGTGATGTGAGAGGCATCGCACTGGAGAAGAAATGTGACATTTTTAGCGGAAATTGGGTTCCTCATCCTGAAGGGTCTTACTACTCAAATGAAAGTTGCCATCTGATGATCGACCAGCATAACTGCATGAAGTTGGGGAGACCTGATAAGGAGTTTATGAACTGGAGGTGGAAACCAAATGAATGTGAGTTACCTCTGTTCAATCCGGCTCAGTTCTTGGAGCTTGTTAGAGGGAAGTCCATGGCATTTGTTGGGGATTCTGTGGGGAGGAACCAAATGCAATCATTGTTGTGCCTCTTATCCAGTGTAAGAGCTTCCATTACTCACTATACCATATATAAATTGCTTTGAATGATCTCATGATGAACCCCGTAAAGTAAAGATTAGCATATTGCAGACTTAACTTCAATGGCCAACCATCCATCGGTATTTCATCCGTACACCTCCCAGCCTAATAATGTTTCATGCATTTTGCAGGTGGCATATCCAGAGGATATTTCTCACAAGTACTCATCAAACACGGATTATTTTAAACGATATTTCTATGCTGATTACAGATTTACTTTAGCAATATTCTGGTCCCCATTCTTGGTTAAATCTAGTGATGCAGATCCTAATGGTCATTCCCTCAACAGCCTCATGAACCTCTACTTAGACGAAGCTGACGAGGCATGGGCGAAAGAAGTTGAAAATTTTGACTATGTGATTGTTTCAGCTGGACAATGGTTCTTCCGCCCTTTGATATACAATGAAAATAGTAAAGTTATTGGGTGCCATAAATGCTTTATAAAGAACATGACAGCCGTTACCAAGTACTACGGATACAGAATGGCCTTTCGAACTGCATTTAGAACTCTTCAAAGCCTTAAGAACTACAAGGGTATAACATTTCTGAGGACATTTTCTCCGTCGCACTTCGAAAATGGTGATTGGAATAAGGGAGGAAATTGTGCAAGAACAAGGCCGTTTACAAGCCAAGAAATGAAGTTAGAAGGGTATGCAATGGAGTTCTACTTGACACAAGTGGAAGAACTACGGGCTGCAGAGAAAGAAGGGACGAAGAGGGGTTTGAAATTTCGATTACTCGACACTACCGAAATTATGTTGTTGAGGCCAGACGGGCATCCAAACCAGTATGGACAATCACCGCATAAGAATGTGGCAGTAAATGATTGTGTTCATTGGTGCTTGCCAGGCCCCGTTGACGCGTGGAATGAGTTTTTGCTTTATATGATGAAGACTGAACGTCAGAGGTCGCTTCAGGGGAGGCTTTAATGAAAAATTCTTGCTGTAAATTTGATACAATTTTTATTTTATATATATATTTGAAACACTGGATGGATTTTTTTACCTGTAAAAACATATGTCCTTTCATTTATAATTTGTAGTGAAGAAGAAAGAAAATGGGTTTATTCTTGTGATTCTGAGAATTCTGTGATTCAGAGCATTCCCATTTGTTCCCTTTGAATTTTACCTTTCTTGGTTCAATTGACTCTCAATTTCATTTCCAACATTAGTGTGCTGATAATGAAATAATGTAAAAAACATCAGATAAATTAGTATCAACCCTTCATTTTCAGAGAAACTGCAGAATTGCTGTGAGAATGAAAGAGGAGTGAAGAGGAAGAGATAAAGAGAAGAGGCAGTAGCCCCACTCACTGTTGAAACTAGCAGCCAAACAAATCACAAAGTAAATATGAAATAAAAGAAGAACACAAAAATATACCTTTGTTCATTCCCTTTTCAAGAAACTACATCCACCATTCAAATAGATTGATTTTTTTTAGTATTAGAATACTACAGAATACAAAGATGAACAATATCAACAGTTTACTCTTTTCTCTCTATTTTTGTTTCACAGGTTAGATTTCTTACTATTACAAAAAATACATAATAAAAAACCTAACCCCTGAATGAGTATCCGTTAAAGCTAAGAGAAGTATACACCATATTCAACACTCACTAGAAATAAATACATTTCGATGCGACAAAGTTACTAAAAGAATCACTTGCAGAAGAACGACATTAATGTAGAAACTTTTTGAAACAACTCAGTGTTAAATAATAAAAAATAAAAAAAATTACATAACTGTTGGCTGGATTGTTCAACAACCACACCAATTTTCCAGGAAAAAAGAGTGGAAGTGAGGCTACAAGACCCGGAAATTTTCAGGGTATTTTGTCTAAAAACAGAACATGAACAGAAGAACAAACTGATGAATTAAAAGGGGAATCTGCAGAAAGTTTTTCAGCTTTCTTTGCTGAATTTTCTATTTAGGTTTTTTTTTTTCAATCACATATGATTATAATAATTGTTAATTATATTTAATTAATATAGAGAAATCAATTATGTTATTGGTGGCTGATCGATATTAAAATTTAAAAAGGGTGATGCTATAGGCACCCCACTAATTCTCTGATTAGCCCCCGATTAAAATAAATCTATATTCATTTCAAAATTACTCTCAAATATGGATTTTTTATAAAATTAAAAAAAAAAAAAATCACTTCTTTGTATGTAATACCTAAAGGAATTACTCATTCAATGGACATACAACTCATAAAACAACAAATGGGTATGAATTTTCAGTTTGTACATAATGTGATTAAAAATGTTTGTGTTATGGAAAAATTTTGATTTTTATGGATATTGTTTCATTTTGAAATGAAATATATATATATATCCATCGAACGAATGTTGAAAGATAAACATGTTGTACGGTAAAACCATCCAGCATGAATTTACACCACATGTCATTCTTGCATGCCATGGATTAACGTCACATGTCATCCCATATTAAGCATGCCTCATCTACAAGTCTCTCAAGGATAAGCTTCACGTATGCCACGTGCCACTCCACTTGAAGCTTACTTAACCAGTAAGTCCATCCCAAGTCGCATGTCACAATGTATGGGAATGACTTCAGTTATACGTCTCTTATTTTCCATAGTGTCATAGAGATCGAATCCTTAATTTCTCTTACAACTGATTTTACAACCACCTCATTTACATTGGGAGAGAAATGTCTGTATTTATGTACTACAAACTGCAAAGACAATAAGAATCACAGTGGAGATATGATTTGCTTCTAACATTCAAACTACTTTAAAAGCTTTTTGTCCTTCGTATTAGTTTATCTATTATTTTCGTATTAATTCCGCATTAAATTGTTGGTTTATAGGTTTCGACAAGAAATCCACGGAGTTGTTGCAAGAAACTGCATCAACAAAAGAAATATTGAAGTGTGGTGCAGGCTATGGTTTGAATGCTATTAAGTAAAAAATTCGATGATTGAATCTGAATTTGTTTCATTTTTAACACAATGTGTTGATAATGAAATAATGAAAACCATAAATGAACGAGGTATTACAAAATTTTCAAGGCAACGAAAATGAAAACAAGAGAATGAATTTGTAAATGAACACGGCTATACCTCTCTTGCTTCAATTAACTCCCAATTTGTTTCATTTTTAACACACTGTATTGATAATGAAATAACGTAAAAATGACTGGATAAAATCTGCATCAATTCTTTAATTTCATAGAGAGAAACTGCAAAATCACTAGTGAAAAAGAATGAGGGAGAAGGGAAAGAAAAAAAGAAGAGACAACCCCAACGAGTTGACTTGACGGTCAAAGAGGTTTATTGCCTTCATTGACTTTTTGGGTTCGAACCTTGGGGTCACCTATCATATTGTGACTTATCTGATCATTTTAGCTTGTATGGTATTCAATGGACTTCGGGGATTAGTTAAAATGTATGCAAACTGATCCGAACAGTCCGATTACAAAAAAAAGAGATAGAAGAGACAGTAGCCCATTTGGCATTGACACCCGATTACCAAAAAGAGAAGAGACAGTATTTTATTAAGAATGATTAGGGTGTTTGTGTGTGTGTGTGTGTGTGTGTGTGTGTTTTTTGTTTTAATAAATGTTGTATATTTTTGAAAATATTAGAAAATACAAAAAATGACAACGTATTTGACATATTTATTTGAAAAGACAAAAGAAATTAATAAAATATATAAAATCTTTGATTCAATATTTCTAGTTATTCCATCTCTTTCAATTTTCAAATGGATTTCACCGACTAACCCTTCTGCTTGTGCCTACCAATAATTATTGGTATACATTTCTTTTTTAAATAACAATAATATCAAAAAATAATATGTATGTATATCTATTTGTTGAAGTATAGTGATAATTTTCATTAGAAAAACACAACAGGAGTATATACCTTGGTTGGCTAAGGATACAAATATTCCTTTATGATTAAGAAACAGGTTGTTCGGACCAAAAAAATTAAAGATTAGTGAGGCCCCAGATTGAGATCGACACCAGGCCCTCCATGTGCTCGTTTTTGTACATTCTCCTTCATGCATTTTGTTAATTTGACATTCATAATTTGGTAATAATATATGAGTACTATTACTTGTACAAAGTAATATGTCAAAAATAAGTATTTGTATGTACAATATTATGGTTAAGATTGGAGTAAAGTGTAACACTCAACGAGAAATTCTTGGTAAGTGCAAGTTATTAGCTGTGTTGACTACGTCTTTACTGTTTGTACACACCATCCGTCATTCTTACCAATTGAATGATTGGTGAAGTGCTCGGATTGCGGTGATACGGACGGTTCACTATCTACAAATTCATGAGAAGTCCACTAAACTTTCTCATTTAAAGAAATGAGAAATCGTAATAAGGTTTCTGTAGGTAAACTTGCAAAAGGTTCATTATTGAAACCTCTCCAACAAAACGAACCTGCGAACTTGTCTTAAGATTGGGGGCCTAGAGGCCTCGTGCCCGTGCGCTCCCACCAGTGCTGCGGTAAGAGGTCTTTGCACTTATGATTATATTATGGTTAAGACTGGAGTAAAGTGTAACACAATGTTAACGTATTGTTACATGGCCATGAACAGAAGAATCAACTTGACCGACATTGCGTCTGTCAGCTGATCAGAATTTTCCTCCAAGTATCAGCTTCGTGAATAAACATACTTTACATTAATATTGGTGATGGTGGCATGGCAACAATAATTTGACCAATTATTGAACGCATGAAAACATGACAATTCCCATTTTGATTAAACTAAACTACTTGACATGAGGAAATTATTTTCTTGAGAAGGAAAAGCTAATTATAAGGCCATCGTCAGCATTATAATTCATTAATATAAGATAGAAAAATGATAAGACAAAAAAATCAATGTGGACAGGCTGTTTTAGAGTAAACTTACCACCTTCCTGAAGCAATTTCCATAAAATACGTTCTTCAGCTACCAAAAATTGTAGCCATATATCAAATTCAATCGCAAACGCGAAGTTTCTTAGTTGACAAATACTCTACACTATGAAGGCGTATACCACTGAGCTCAGTTGGAGGGTCATACCTCAGTACAACACTCAGAACAAATTTTCTTTACTGGTTCTAATTATCTTTACTCTCTTCGCCGTTTTCCATCTCTTCAAGAATAATTATCAGTCGCCGTTAACTTTGCTATCTCTGAACATGAAAACTAGTGATCATGTGAGAGGCAGCGCACGGATGAAGAAGAAATCATGTGCCATTTTTAGCGGAAGGTGGATTCCTTATCCTGAAGGGCCGCCTTACTACTCAAATGAAAGTTGCCGTTCGTTAATGGACCAGCATAACTGTATGAAGTTCGGAAGACCTGATAAGGAGTTCATGAACTGGAGATGGAAACCAAATGAATGTGAGTTACCTCTGTTCAATCCAGCTCAGTTCTTGGAGCTTGTTAGAGGGAAGTCAATGGCGTTTGTTGGGGATTCTGTGGGGTTGAACCAAATGCAATCGTTGTTGTGCCTCTTATCTAGTGTAAGAACTTTCGATATTGCTCATTACACTATTTACATATACATTTCTGTTTCGTAACTATCCATCATAAAACATTTATTTATTCAGGTAAGAGCTCATATTTGGAGAAGATCATGGTCATACCATTAAATTTGATGTGGAAGAACATAATAGTTCATAAGATTGAGTTTTGTTATTTAAATTAAACTTCTACTCACTGTTTTATTAGACTTTAGGANGGAAGGTGGATTCCTTATCCTGAAGGGCCGCCTTACTACTCAAATGAAAGTTGCCGTTCGATAATGGACCAGCATAACTGTATGAAGTTCGGAAGACCTGATAAGGAGTTCATGAACTGGAGATGAAAACCAAATGAATGTGAGTTACCTCTGTTCAATCCAGCTCAGTTCTTGGAGCTTGTTAGAGGGAAGTCAATGGCGTTTGTTGGGGATTCTGTGGGGTTGAACCAAATGCAATCGTTGTTGTGCCTCTTATCTAGTGTAAGAACTTTCGATATTGCTCATTACACTATTTACATATACATTTCTGTTTCGTAACTATCCATCATAAAACATTTATTTATTCAAGTAAAAGCTCATATTTGGAGAAGATCATGGTCATACCATTAAATTTGAGTGGAAGAACATAATAGTTCATAAGATTGAGTTTTGTTATTTAAATTAAACTTCTACTCACTGTTTTATTAGACTTTAGGATTATTAGAATTGTTTTCATGCTTAGTTTATGCTTTGATTAATTGATTATGGAATAAGATTTCGTTTGAATTCGTTCAAATGTGGTTGAAAACATTTAAACTTTTTGGTAATTGTTTATTTTTTCATATAATTGATTGCTAGAATAGACTTAGTACTATTAGTTGAGAGATTTTAAATTCAAGTCTCTTCTCGATTGCTAATAGGGATAGTCACTAGAACTTTTACCTGGTCGATAGTTTCAGGATCGTGAGAAATTAGTTGAAGTATACGTAAACTCGTCCAGACACTGTCAGTCATCAAAAAAGAAAATAAACTTAGTACTAAAAGTTGCTTAGACTTGGAAAATTATGATGGATGATGGAGTTTATAGGTTTACGATAAAGTATTTCTATCAGATAATTAACAATAAGCACATTTTTCTGATCCATTAAATTCTGAAAAGTTCAGTTGTTTATCATATACCTCACAGCCTAATACTATATCTCATGCATCTAATTCAGGTGGCATATCCTGAGGATATATCTCACAAGTACTCATTAGACTCAAATTATTTTAAGCGACATTTCTATGCTGATTACAGATTTACAGTAGCAAATTTCTGGTCCCCGTTCTTGGTTAAATCCAGTAATGCAGATAATGGTCATTCCCTCAACGGCCTCTTGAACCTTTATTTAGATGAAGCTGATGAGGCATGGGTGAATGAAGTTGAAAATTTTGACTATGTGATTGTTTCAGCTGGACAATGGTTCTTCCGCCCTTTGATATTCTATGAAAATAGTCAAGTTATTGGGTGCCATATATGCGATATAAACAACATGACAGCCATTGCCAAGTACTATGGATACAGAATGGCCTTTCGAACCGCCTTTCGAACTCTTCAGAGCCTTAAGAACTACAAGGGTACAACATTTCTAAGGACATTTTCTCCAGCACACTTCGAAAATGGTGATTGGGATAAGGGAGGAAACTGTGTAAGAAAAAGGCCATTTACAAGCCAAGAAATGAAGTTAAACGGGGATACCATGGAGTTCTACTCAACACAAGTGGTAGAACTACGGGCTGCTGAGAAACAAGGGAGGCTGAAATTTCGATTACTTGATACTACTGAAATTATGTTGCTAAGGCCAGATGGACATCCAAACAAGTATGGACAATCACCTCATAAAAATGTTACAGTGAATGATTGTGTTCATTGGTGTTTGCCAGGCCCCATTGACGCATGGAATGAGTTTTTGCTTTATGTGATGAAGACTGAAGATCAGAGAAGAGATGGTTCCAGACTTTGACGGGAAGTTAATTGGAAAAACTAAGAGCTCTCAATCTGTTTCATTTTCTACATCAAGGTGCTAAATAATTAAATAACGTAAAAACCCATCAGAATATGAGTAATACTACACATACATCATTTTCATACAATATTTTTCATACAACATTATGTGACAAGATATGATTGACTAATTTAAAGTTAAAATTAAACTTTCACCCAATTACATCTTGTCACATAATGTTGTATGAGGAATATTATATGGGAATGATGTATATGTAGTAGTATTCTCAGAATATAGCTTTAAAATAGGCCGAGGAAGATGGCCTACCTTCTCAAAACTATATAAAGAGCGAAATATGATTAAAACGGGAGACTGCAATGCGAAGTCAGATTGTTAATTAGAGAGTACATTGATTCAACCTATCTACACCATGAAAGGCCGTTATCCATCAAATATAATAACCGAAATTTATATATTTACTATTGTTATTGTTGTTGTTGTTTTCTATTTTAATTAATTTGAAGGAGCCATGGCACCTAAAACCCATATGGGTCAACCATCAAGTTGTCTAAAATAGTAAACAATTACAAAACTAAATTATGGAGGGACTCCTCACTCTCTCTTCAATAGAGAATTAATTAATTAATTAATTATATATTAAGTATTGATGCGTATTTTGACACTAACGAGATGTACGCAAACCTTCAATGAAGTTTGCATAAAGGATCTACAGGAGACCGAGAAATATGAAGTATGATATTGAACCTGTAGTATGATACTGAACCTGTGGGTTGAAAAGAAGTATTAAAGAAAATGAAATGCGAAGAAGAAAATGCGTAAACATAAATAAATAAATAAACGAGAGCAATTTTTAAAATAATTCGGATGCAATAAGCAATTCCTACGTCCAATGTTATTTTATTTATGTATTTACAAGAAGTACTTGCTCTACAGAGACAATTGTTGTAGTGCTCTTGTCAAAATAAGATGTCGGATCCTTGATTTGGGGTTGGAACCCCCTATTTGTAGTGTTCCGATGATAGTCTTTGGTGTGAAGTAACCCACATGCAAGTGGACATGCGGTATTGCACTAATTAGCTTATAAGTTAAGTAATCCATATGACATGTGGTTTGGACTTGAGGGCAACTTGCAACGTTAAGGGTGAAATACTCCACATGCTGATTGACATATAGTCTTGGAAAGGTGGTTGATTTTCCTCCCCTTAAAGGCTTAAAACTTCACATGATTTCTAAAGGAAATGTCTTCTTGAAAGCTAACACATGTCCCAATGACAAGGCATTTTAGGGAACACGTGGCAAAGACTCGGTCTGCATGTTTTTACCACCCAACGTTAAGATTGATAGATTTGGATATGTCACACTTTCATGGTACAAATTAATTCATCAAATTTTTTTAATAATTTACAAAAATTAGACCATATCATAAATTTAATCAAATAACTATTAATATGAATGAATTTTTTAGTTCTTTTTATGAGGGTAGCTTTAGTATTTGATATAAGAGTAAACGACTCTTTCACATCCAAATAATGACCTAATGACACATTTCCATCTAAAATGTTTCAAAATAAAACTTTAATATAATTTCACAAACTGAATGGTACCCTAAGTCTATATCTATATCATCCCTTACCTAAATCCATGCCTCTGCAATCCAAATATTGAAAAAGAATTTGTTTTCAGCAGGTTACATGTTTATATTAGTTTTTTAATTAAAGTATTAATGGATTATTTTCTCATAAATCAAATGGTTTTGTCATTTCTTCCCATAACGTAAGAATCATCAGATAAAGTAGCATCAATCCTTCATTTTCATAGAGAAACTGCAGAATTACTGTAAGAAATTGATACATTCTAAAAGAATCATTTCATTATGAATGATTTATTTTTCTATTCTTCTAGGAATTACATTAATGTACAGAACATTTTGAAACAATTTAGAGTATAGTAAATTTTTTTTTTTTTTTTAAATAAAAAAAAAAAATTACATAACTTTTACACTATCAGATTATTGCTTAAGACCTATAATATGTATACTAGAGATGTTCTTCAAAAAGAAAGCTTGATGAAGACAGCAACATGCAAAGCTAAAATGTAGAGCACAAAAGCCGACCTCAGAAGCATGAGCTTCTGCTGGCTCTCACTCCGGCCTCCAGTGTAATAAGGAAGTTTATTATGAGCGTCGCTGGTAAAATCTGCAGAAGAAGATCCTTTCTCAGAGTTGGTCCTCCCAAACCGGTTTCTCGCTTCTACATTGCTGCTTTCAATTCTCCTCCACAAACCATTCAATTTTTCTAGTTCCATCTCTTTCAAATGGATTTCACCGACCAGGCCTTCTGCTTGTGCCTACCAATAACATGATATTGTTTACATATTTGGTCTTAGAACAATAGGGTCGAAAAAAATTTTTAATCTTTATATAAATTTAACTGACCTGTTTCGCTGCTAGTTGCTCAATGAGGCTGTGAAGCTGTTTGTCTAACATCTTTTCTCTCTGAGCTGCAAATAGTAGTTGTTTAAAATCAAAATTGTAGATATAAGTTATTACTGCTAAAAAAATGTGGCAACATTTTCAGCCATTACAGGTACAATGTCTGTGTAATTCCACAGTAAGCAAGAAATTTAATAGACAGTTTCTGTAGCTTTACGAAAAGCCAAAAGAAAATGAAATTATATTCCCAGGCCAAATGGTAATCACTAGGTGATTCATATGGAAGTAGGTAAACGAACAAAAAGAAAAATGAAAAGCATTATTGAACCTAAGCAAAAGTCCTAAAAGACTTCTGAGGTGAGAAACAATTTCAAGGGAAATCAATTTTTGAGAGTGTGGTGTAAAAAAAATTGCAGTAAGGTAGTTTACTAATAACATGTGGAATCAAAAGTGAACAATTTTTTTTTTCTCTTTTTTGGGACAGGAAAGTGATTTTACAAACGTTTGCTGGTACAATATTTTTAGTCCTCAATATCCTGCTGAAGTATGAGAACTAAAAATCTTTCGCAGAACTGCATTCACCCAGCTTCCAAATTCATCAACTACAAAACCAAGTTTGCACATAAAAACAATAGTGAACAATGCAAGCAGAGTGTGACTGATACACATAGAGCTAATCCTTGAGATAAACACCTATGTTGATCAATAATGGGCATAAGTTCTTCAAGAATCTAACAATAGTTATCAATGACACAGGAAATATTGAAGAGATACCATATACTATGTTAGAACCTCAGCAACTAGCAAAATTATCACAATTCGGTATTAAAAGCTCTAAAACAAATCAATTTAAAAGATACCTGGGGAAGGCTGCTTCAGTGCATTATGCTGAACTTGCGCCCACTTCTTCTCCAATTCCTGAACTACCTCTTCCATTGAACTCTAAGAGTATCAAACAATTTTTCAGCATCAAAAGCAGCAACAAACACCCATATTAATAACTGAAAAAATGAAAACTAAATTAGAAATAAAACGTTAAAGATGAAACTGACCAATTCCTTGTTTTTGTCTTCTAGTTTTCTTGTTAGAGAAGACTTTTGAACTTCTGTATCTTCTCCGGTTTCATCTGCCTTTTTGGATTCAGCTGCAGATTCAATGAGCCTTCTCTGTTTGCTGGCAAGCAATGCAGTTTGCCTGCTTTCCAGTTCTACTTCCAATTTTTTTTCAATTTCATCCATTTCCTATAATCATAAATAAATAAAGTAAAACTTCTGAAGCCACAGTGAATAAATTTGGTTTAGACTTTTACTTTTACCCACACCATCAGCAATGTAAGCAAAATAATTTCAGAAAATTAGAAAACAACCCAAAAAGGTTTCTTACAAAGGAATATGCTGATATATTTCCATGAGTTAAAAGGAAAAATTATAACTAAATTGGTAAAACAGTAATGAATATGCCCATAGAATCATGAAATTTATGAGCGCATCATGCAGAATTAAGCTTTGAAAAGTTAGTCCAGACCTCTAACTTTCTTTGAAGTGAGTTCGCTTCCTGAATTTTCTCCAGTATTTTACTTTCACAATTTGATATAGCCCTTGCATATGCCGCATTTTCTTCCTGCAATGTTACCTCTCTCAATTGGGCCTGGTCACAAGTATCATAACAATTTTCAGGAACAATCTTAATCGTAGGTCGAAGTATCTATATGAATACCTAATCATTCAATAACAGAACTATACTATCAGGGAAACACTCACGAACTATTTAAGACCAAAATAAAAAAACCCACATGAGAATTAGCATAAAGTTTATGAAAGATACAAACTTGTACACACAGACACAAAAACAACAACCAAAACAAAAGACCCAGATAATAAAATCAAAAACTTTAACTAACAAACTTGTTCAAAGAAAAAAACAAAAAAAAACCTGTTCACGAGTAGCAGAGTGAGAATTGAGCTGGAGGGCAAGAGCGGCATTGGAGGCAAGCGAATGGGCATGAATGTGAGGGAGGCGTTGGGCGATATCAGGGGGAGGTAATCTGAGGCGTAGATCTTGGATCGAACGGCTGAGAGAGGCGGCCTTTCGGTCAAGTTGTTGAACGTAGTTCTGTTGTTCCGGTGTGAAGAGAATAGGGATTGAATAATTGGAGTCTTGATGTTCATCGTCCTTGTGGGCTCCGACTACATCTGCTGCCCATGCGAATAATCCCGCCATATCTCTCCCTTTGCTTTCTCTCTGTTTTGATCTCATATTAATTTTTGCAGTGTTGTTACCAGATGAACCGGAATTTTGATACCGGTTCAAACCGGTCTAATCAATTATCAAGTATTTTAATTATTAAAAAAAATGTTATACTTTTCTTAAATAATCTTTTGTGTTATATTAGCCTCGCCACTAAAAAAAACAAAAATTAAAAATTAAAAGATACAAACTATAGTGACAAAGAACAAACAATGCACAAATCTTTATACTGATCTTCAAAATTAATTATATATTGTTTCGTAAATGATATTTTTCGTTCAAAACTAATTATATATTATCTATAAATGATTTTCTCTTCCGGTATCTATTATCATGGACAGCGATTCCGAATATCCTTCACTTTTTTTAGAACCTGGAACTTGAAACATAAGTTCTGTTCCAGGTACCCAGGTTAATTTTAATTACTCCGTATTTTTTTTAAATGACAAATATACCCCTAAAAAATTACAAGTACACCCTTATAGTTTACAAAAATTATAATTCAGTCTTGATTCCTACTCGGGTACCCAAACCTCGATTCTAGTTTCTGGTTCTAGCACTTTAGGAATCGAAACCGAACTTGAGAATTCTGGGTTCTAATTTTCCAAAACCGAAACCAGACCTTAATGGGGTTGGTTCCGGTTCTATCTTTTATGCATGCTCACCCTTAATCATGGTTTATCAATAACTACCTCGGTGATAGATAATTTTAAGAATAATATTTTCTAAAATAAAGATTTATACTTTTTTGCAACTTACATTATTATATTTATTATTTTCTAACCATAAGAAATACTTCAAAATGCACCACAAAATGTTATAGAAATATAATGGCCAGGATTCTCTCACAGAAAAAGGCCCAAATCCAATTGGATAATCCCATTGTACCCAGTAGATGGTCTTATGGGCTAGGAGGATCCAAGTAACGACTTGATCCAGTAACAAATGTTGGGAAATAATTTGTAGCCTCCATCTTTTACTTTTAGTGGGGGTATAATTGTCATAAAAAAATTATTTTTCTTTCACTATATTTTTTTATTTTCAAAACTTTATATTTGCAGTTATAGAAAAAATAAAAGAAATTTAGGTCAATCATAGTATATAATTTCACAAGTAAATTAAAACACATGATAATTATCATAATTACTTTATGTTTCTCCTCTACCACATGAACTAATTTTTTTTTTTTTTTTTTTTTATCTCATATCCTTTTATACATATAGCAAACACAATTATCATATTTATTAGTTTCTTTCTTTATTATTTATTCTTTTTTTTTCTTTTCTAAATTTGATATTTTGGAAATTTGTTTAAATGGTCTAATGGTAAACCTTTTAGCCATTGAGGTCAGATGATAAACCTGTGGGTACACCAATTCTACCCGCCAAAAAAAGGGGCCGAGTTGGGTGTAGGTTCAATTTTCAAGAGTCTGTAAGGTTGGATCCGTACCTTATATTTATTGGAGGGGTACAGGTTGACTTGCAAGTACATACATGTTTTGTCAGGTCTAAGGTTAGCTATACTTAGGGTTAAAAGAGGTACTTATCACATTTGTATAATTATCTTGGTCTATTGAACTTGTAAGGTATTCCGCGGCCTTAATGATTAAGTAAGCTCCAATGTGGGCCTAAATATATCAGATACCTGAAAAAAAAAAAAAAAAAAAATGTGTTATCATATAATAAAACTTAAATCAAGCAAAGTGTTTATGGTAGTGTTTTTTAATATGTATAAGAGCTAAGAAAAGATCCATACTTTGAAAATTTCACTATTGGAAGCATTTGCCATGGATCATGGGCAAAGCATCAATACTAAGTTTCCTCTCAAAGCATCAATATATACTAAGTAACCATTTTATATTATTTCTTCTCAACGTTTGATTGGTGACAATTGATTAAAGGCAAAGAGATACCAAAAATCCCCTTCCCATGACCATGATTGGTTTAAATTGAGTCTATTATGCCATCACCAAAAATAAAGCCCTAAACTTTCTTAATAATGTGAACTCGAATTTAAATGTTATGAATATCACAATTTTATATCCAAAGCTTCCTTACCTCTAAAGTAATCTCAAACCCCACTTGAAGATGTTTGTCTTTCCTTCACAGTTCACACATTCTTGTTCAACATTACTTGCATATCTTGCAATCCTCTATTTCGCCATTAACAAAACCCTCCAACTTCCACATTCTTCCCATCTTCACTTCAAATCCAACCCTTCAGCTGCCCCCATTGAATCAAAATCATCAACCGTCAACATAAAATTAAAAAAAAAAAAAAAAGTCAAGACTCTCTCCATTTCCTCCTACTTTCTCTCCACCAAATCCCAACCAACTTAATGACTAAGTTATAACAAATACACAATGTTGAAAAAGCTGAGAAGAAGAGTTAAAATTGTAGTCACCAAGCCCTTTAAAAAGCCCAAGAAACCCTTTAAACCCTCCACTTCAGTTTGTCCACCACCACCACCAGCCCCTGAATCTGAATCTGAACCTGAACCTGAACCAGAAGTAGAACCTGAACCTGAAACGCCGGCTATGGAGCATCATCATTACACAAGGCGCAACCTCACCCTTTCTGTCCTAAAACAGAGTCCACCGTACTCCCTGATCCTTCCTTTTCTTCCTCGGATTCTCCTGTCATCCCCTCCCCCACAAATTCTTTCTTTCAAAATTTCACGCTCAAAGCTGGCGATCAGCCCGAATACATCCACCCGTATCTTATTAAATCATCCCAGTCTTCACTTTCTGTCCCTACCCATCTCAGTTCCACAACTCTGCTTTCATATACCAAGTTTTCAATGCTGATTTGATCATCTCAGGGTCGAATAAAACCGGCCCGGATTCGCAGCAAGTCACGTAATTTCCTCTTACAGTGATCTCAGTGTCACTCTTGATATCCCCTCTTCACATCTTCGTTTCTTTCTTGTTAGAGGAAGCCCTTTTGTGACCTGCTCTGTCACAAGTAATATTCCCATTTTGATATCAACCATTCATGCTATTCTCTCCCTTGAAACCAATACATCACTCAACAAGTGCACCATTAAACTTAACAATAACCAAACTTGGGTTTTGTATTCGTCTTCACCATCAATTTGAGTCAAAGTGGTGTTTTCTTCAATCGTTGCTGGCGGGTTTAAAGGCATTATTCGGATTGCTGCGGTGCCAATTCTGATCCTCAATATCAGTCGATTCTTGATCGGTTCGTTCGTGCTATCCGCTTTCAGGTGATGCTGTTTTCACGAAGCCATTTTGTTTAGAATACAAATTTGAAAAAAGGTTGGGGTGATTTACTTATGTTAGCGCATCCTTTGCATCTTAAACTATTATCTAGGGAGATAGTGATGTAACTGTTTTAGAGGATTTTAAGTATAAAAGTTAGATGTGATCTTGTTGGTGTTGTTGGTGATTCTGGGTATTGAAACTGGATTCGGTTTCGGTAACTTGGCATTCAATTAATGAAATTGGAGAAGAATCTATATGAAATAGTTTCAGCTCTTCGTAAGGATGTTGTGCCTTGAATTCAAGTCCTATAACCACGGCATCGTCTTATTTTTATGGGAAATTGATTGCTAGAGCAGCAAGATTGGCTTTGATAGCTGAAGAGGTGTCTTTTCTTGATGTAATACCACTGATAAGGAAGTTCTTGAAGGATACAATTGAGCCCTGGTTAGATGGGACTTTTAGTGCAAATGGTTTTCTGTATGATGGAAAATGGGGTGGAATTGTGACAAACCAAGGCTCGTGTAGATACTGGAGCAGATTTTGGATTTGGAGTGTACAATGACCACCATTACCATTTGGGATACTGTTTATGCATTGCTGTACTTGCAAAGATTGATCCAGCTTGGGGGAGGAAGTATAGCCTCAAGCTTATTCACTTATGGCTGATTTTATGAACTTGGGGCGGAAAGCAAATTCAAATTATCCCGTTTGAGATGCTTTGACTTGTACAAGTTGCATTCTTGGGCTGGAGGGTTAACTGAATTTGGGGATGGGAGGAATCAAGAAAGCACAAGTGAGGCTGTGAACGCATACTATTCAGCGGCTTTGATGGGGCTAGCGTATGGAGACACCCACCTTGTGGCCACTGGATCAATGCTAGCCTCAATGGAGATTCAGGCAGCACAGACATGGTGGCATATAAGAGAGCAAGACACTCTGTATGACAAAGATTTCACTCGAGAGAATAGAGTGGTAGGTGTTTTGTGGGCTAACAAAAGAGATAGTGGACTCTGGTTTGCTCCTCCTGCTTGGAGAGAGTGTAGGCTTGGCATTCAACTGCTCCCCCTATTGCCAATCACTGAGGTTTTGTTTTCTGATGTTGGATTCACGAGAGAACTTGTGCAGTGGACATTACCGGCTTTAGGAAGAGAGGGAGTTGGAGAAGGATGGAAGGGTTTTGTTTATGCTTTGGAAGGGATTTATGACAAAGAAAATGCTTTGCAGAAGATCAGAAACTTGAACGGTTATGATGATGGGAACTCACTTACTAATCTCTTATGGTGGATTCACAGTAGGGGTGATGAAGAGGAAGAAGGATACGGTGGAGTGGGGAAATTGTGCTGGTTTCGTCACTACTGTCACTAATCTCTTATTTTTATATCAGCCTGTCCCTTTGTTCATGGGGATTTACTCTAGGCTTCATCTGGATTTGATTGCTAGTTTATACTTGATATATGTTGTCTTCGGTTTACATGCTTGTACATACATTTTAAAATAAGATTGATGTATCTCATCAAAGCTTTTCCTACAATCATTTGCCTCATTGCTATATTTCTGGTGTTGGATTTGAGGTTTCAGTTTGACAATATATGGCTGAGATTATCCAGAGCTTTTCCTGGACTTCAAACTTTTTCTTGATTAATTTAGATGTGATTCTGCCTAGCTTGGAATGCTGAAAGGTGAAAATTGGAAGAGCAAATTTCGCCTAGTGCCCGTGTTTTACGCGCATGCCAAGTTTGGCACTATTCTCAATTAACCCCCGAAACTATTTAACAATTGTTTGATAACATCCCTTTTCATCAACTCTGTCAAAGATGAAGTAACAGAATACGAGTGTTTTACGTTTTTGCCCCTATATCATGCATTGAATATTAACCGAACAAGACAAATTTAGGGGTGGGATAATCTTGTTAAGCCAACCGGTTATACGGTTTAAGCAAAAATATAAACCCAAATCAAACCGATTTATAGAATAAACCGAATTTAAACCAAACCAAATAGTCGCTTTAGTTATATGTTAACCGATTTTCAAACCGGTTTTCAAATTGAACAAAGTTGTTAGGAAAATGGTCATCATGGTCCTAATAAAGAAAGCTTAGCCAAACCGAAATGGCAAAAGCACCTCAAATTTAATAGAGATAATATAAAAAAAGGGTCCTATTAAATCAGAATTATCTTTTGCTCAACATAATATCGTGGTAAAGTATTAGATTTATCACAACCAAACTAAGTAAAGTGTTTGAATAATTCATAGTATTAAAGCCTCTAAAAATTAGAAGCATCCATCAAAATATTCATCAGATCTCTTGCTGAATTAGAAGATACAGTAGGTTGCTGAATCGGCGATAGACTATTGATCTTGGAGCTGTGTCGGCGAAATGGCGTTGGCGATATTGTAGATGCATGGGTTTGGAGTTTCAATTTGGTGGTGGGTGTGGGTGGCGCTGGTGAAGATGGAGTCTGGAGAGTGGAGTGGAGGCGGCGGAGAGAATGAAAAGTGAAGATGGGGTCTGGAGAGTGGAGTGGCGGCGGAGAAGAGAATAAGATATATAATATGTGATGAGGAAAGTAATGAGGAGGGGACAAGTCAATGAAGGAGGAGTGAGATTACCAAATTACTCCTGCAACGTTAATGCTTTTCAAACGGCATCAAGGAAAAAGGGTGGTTTGTGTGTAATTCTTGAATAATATAGGGGTGCCAGTGACCAATAGCGTCAAACTTGGCACTCGCTTGTTAGTTTCTAAAAACACAGGGGTACTGAGTGAAATTTGCTCCAAATTTGGAAGTTCTGCAACTGCAAGCAGCTATAGTTTAAGAGCCCTTTAAAATCAAGCAAGGAATTAAACAATAATTACAAAGCCCTTTAAAATTCCCAAGAAATCGTATAAACCCTTCAGTTCCATTTCTCCATCAACAGTGCCTGAACCTGAAGCTGAAACGCCAGCCATGGAGCCGCGACAGTTCAAAAAGCGACCAACTTTACCATTTCTGTTCACTAAAACTGAGTCAAACTTACAGTCACAAAGCCCTTTAAAATTCCCAAGAAACCCTATAAACCCTCCAGTTCCATTTTCTTCATCACCAGTGCCTGAACCTGAAGCTAAAACCGGCGATGGAGCCTCAACATTACGAAAAGCAACTAACTTCACCGTTTTTGTTCACTAAAGCAAACTCAACTGTGCGGTGTCTCCTCTCATCTCCTCTCCCCACAAACTCTTTCTTCCAAAACTTCACGCTCAAAGCTGGTGATCAGGCCGAATATATCCACCCATATCATATTAAATCATCTCTCTGTTTACTATCTGTCTCCTACTCATATCGGTTCCACAACTCTTCTTTAATATACCAATGTTTCAAAGCTGATTTGATCATCTCAGGGTGTAAAAAAGCCGACAATTATTCTCAAAAAAGTCACATAATTTCCTCTTACAGCGATCTCAGTGTCAATCTTGATATCCCCTCATCACATCTTCGTTTCTTTCTGGATAGAGGAAGCCCTTTTGTGACTTGTTCTGGGCCAAGTGACATCCTATTTTGATATCAACTGTTCATTTTATTCTATCACTTGATACCAATAATGCACTCAATAAGTACACCATTAAACTTAACAATAACCAAACTTGGTATTGTATTCGTCTTCGCCGATCAATTTTAGCCGAAATGGTGTTTCTTCAATCATTTCCCGTGGGTTTCAGGCACTATTAGAATTGCGGTGATGCCGGATTCTGTTTCTCAAAATCAGTCGATTCTTGATCGGTTCTGTTCTTGTTATCCTTTCAGGTGATGCTGTTTTCCTTAAGCCATTTTGTTAAGTATAAAAGTATAGATGTTGATCTTGTAGATGTTGGTGATTCTTGGGTGGGTAGTGTAACCAGATTCTCGGTTTCGGTAACTTGGCATTCAATTAATGGAATTAGAGAAGAATCATATGCTGAAATAGTTTCAGCTCTTTCTAAGGATGTTGATGCCGTGCATTCAAGTCCTATAACCACGACCTATTTTTATGGGAAATTGATTGCTAGAGCCGCAAGATTGGCTTTGATAGCTGAAGAGGTGTGTTTTCTTGATGTAATACCAGTGATAAGGAAGATCTTGAAGGATACAATTGAGCCCTGGTTAGACATATATACATATATGCCTGAAACTTTGTTCATGGGGATTAATCTAACATCCAGATTTCATTGCTGTTTTTGTTTGATATGTTATCTTTGGTTGGTTTGCATATTTTAAACAGTAATGCTACGGACACCAAATTTTTGTATCGAAGGACGCGGCATTTAGTCAAAAGCGATTGCGTTGAAGACAAAACATGTCTTTCGTGAATGAACAATCGTCCAACAATTATGAATGTCCATCCATATTTTCATCAAAAATAATATGAGTGGATGGACGAGTGTCCATTCCATAAAATTATAAAAACAAAACAATGGACGCCATTGTTTAGCTAACACTCCATTATTAAGTAAATCAATCTAAATTCTAACATGAACTCTTCTTCTCAGTTGGTGCAATAATTTGAGGACATAATGAGTATGGCAAATCTGTCATTTAGCTAACACCACAACCGAAAGAAGATATTCTCAAGCATATGTTGAAAAACATGTGGCAACGGTTTTTTACGTGAACTGGATGCTTTTTTCTTTCTTACACTTCAAAAACTACTCTTTTCTTCTTCCCTTCAATCTCTTCCATCTCTAAAATCTTGTATAAAAGTGACTGACATAACCCCGCTGAAGTAGTTCTCTTCAATGTTGAAACAACCCAAATCTTTTCTTTGGTTTTTGTTTACATTTATGGCTCAATGCACAACTCAAGGTCGTTTCAAGCTGCTTTTCAATGGTGATGGAGCGTCATTTGGTGTGGAAACAAGAGACCCTTTTCACTACAAGATTCGAACTTTAAGATCAATTCAAGCTCACAGGAGAAGGCTGAGGTTTCTTAAGTCTACCACAAGATTTTACTCTTCTTTCAGTTAGAAGAAATCGAGACTGTTCAATGTAGAGGCGAGTGTTAATATGAGTGATGCAGGGATTCATGATGAAAGCGAAGAGTATGACAGTGATTTTGAGACTGATGACTTGGCTTGTTTTAGAGGACTGGTTTTGGATATCTCTTATAGGCAAGTTGTTTCTAGAGCTTACTTCATGCCTTAACATTTTTTTTCTGTTTTGATTCTTTTAATGTTAGTTCGAACTTGTTTATTGAGAAGATGGTTTATTTACTGCATTGGTTTTTGTTAGATTTTGATTTGGGTTGTGAAATTTTTCTAGCTGTTTGTGTTTTGTAAAGAGTTAATTTGAGTTGGAATTTAAGTAATTCAGCGGTTTGTATGCAGTTGATGATGCTGGAGTATGCTTTAATAGCTATTATTCGAACCAAGTATTAATTTTATGGAAGGCGTCCATTATTTTGTTTTTAGAATTTTATTTACGAGCATCCATTAAAAATGGACACCTGGCCATATAATATGAACGGGAGTTCACTGATATTTTTGTGGACGTTCGTCCATTCTTAATGAATGATCGTCTATAAAATATGGACAGATATCCATAATTATTGGACGGTCGTTCATTCACAAAAGACGTGTTTTATCTTCAATGTGACCGCATTTGAATAGATGCTACATCCTTCGGTACAAAAATTTGGTGCAAAGATTCAGTTTTCCGTAGCATTTTTGTATTTTAAAATAAGATTGATCAATCTCATCAAAGTTTGTCCTACACTTATTTGCCTCATTGGTATATTTCTGGTGTTGGTTTTGAGCTTTCCATTTACAACATATACCTGAGATTATTCAGAGCTTCCCTTTCAAATTTTTCTTGATTAGTTTAGATGCGAAAGACTTTTGTTATTGTTTGAAGAGTAAGTGACTTTTCCCGCCCAAGTAATACTTTAATAACATTTTCTCACCCACTAACATTTAAAATATCACTTCAGTATCCAAATTTATATTCCGTTTCCGATTCTGATATCGTTGCGACCCCCACCACCACCATTCTCTTCCCCTATCATCACTCATCGAAACCCTTCAAACCTTACTCTCATCACTTTGTCAATCACCAACAATCAAGCGATTAGGTTTAAAGAGTCACCCCTCCCGAGTCAAATGTCCCTATGCTAAATCCAATGCCAATATTCTAAGCAGCTTTCTAATAACTGAACTTTCTACTGCTTTCTGATTCACTCGCTACATATAAGTTGGATGAGAAGATTTTTTTTTTCAAAAGAAAAAAACAAAAAAGAAAAGTTGAATGGTTAAACCCTTCGGCTTCCAGTAGAGATCAGGGTTCAAAAACGCTTTGGTTTGTGAAACCCTTTAAACCGTCCACTTCAATTTCTCCATCACCACCAGCTCCTGAATCTGAACCTGAACCAGAACCAGAAGTAGAACCTGAACCTGAAACGCCGGCTATGGAGCATCATCATTACAAAAGGCGACAAGCCTCACCCTTTCTGTTCCCTAAAACAGAGTCCACCGTACTCCCTGATCCTTCCCTTTTCTTCTCTCGGACTCTCCTGTCATCCCCTCTCCCCACAAATTCTTTCTTTCAAAATTTCACGCTCAAAGCTGGCGATCAGCCCGAATACATCCACCCGTATCTTATTAAATCATCCCAGTCTTCACTTTCTGTCTCCTACCCATCTCAGTTCCACAACTCTGCTTTCATATACCAAGTTTTCAATGCTGATTTGATCATCTCAGGGTCGAATAAAACCGGCCCGGATTCGCAGCAAAGTCACGTAATTTCCTCTTACAGTGATCTCAGTGTCACTCTTGATATCCCCTCTTCACATCTTCGTTTCTTTCTTGTTAGAGGAAGCCCTTTTGTTACCTGCTCTGTCACAAGTAATATTCCCATTTTGATATCAACCATTCATGCTATTCTCTCCCTTGAAACCAATACATCACTTAACAAGTGCACCATTAAACTTAACAATAACCAAACTTGGGTTTTGTATTCGTCTTCACCCATCAATTTGAGTCAAAGTGGTGTTTCTTCAATCGTTGCTGGCGGGTTTAAAGGCATTATTCGGATTGCTGCGGTGCCAGATTCTGATCCTCAATATCAGTCGATTCTTGATCGGTTCAGTTCGTGCTATCCGCTTTCAGGTGATGCTGTTTTCACGAAGCCATTTTGTTTAGAATACAAATTTGAAAAGAAAGGTTGGGGTGATTTACTTATGTTAGCGCATCCTTTGCATCTTAAACTATTATCTAGGGATGATAGTGATGTAACTGTTTTAGAGGATTTTAAGTATAAAGGTATAGATGGTGATCTTGTTGGTGTTGTAGGCGATTCTTGGGTATTGAAACTGGATTCGGCTTCGGTAACTTGGCATTCAATTAATGGAATTGGAGAAGAATCATATGATGAAATAGTTTCAGCTCTTCGTAAGGATGTTGATGCCGTGCATTCAAGTCCTATAACCACGACCTATTTTTATGGGAAATTGATTGCTAGAGCAGCAAGATTGGCTTTGATAGCTGAAGAGGTGTCTTTTCTTGATGTAATACCACTGATAAGGAAGTTCTTGAAGGATACAATTGAGCCCTGGTTAGATGGGACTTTTAGTGCAAATGGTTTTCTGTATGATGGAAAATGGGGTGGAATTGTGACAAAACAAGGCTCAGTAGATACTGGAGCAGATTTTGGATTTGGAGTGTACAATAACCACCATTACCATTTGGGATACTTTGTTTATGCAATTGCTGTACTTGCAAAGATTGATCCAGCTTGGGGGAGGAAGTATAGGCCTCAAGCTTATTCACTTATGGCTGATTTTATGAACTTGGGGCGGAAAGCAAATTCAAATTATCCACGTTTGAGATGCTTTGACTTGTACAAGTTGCATTCTTGGGCTGGAGGGTTAACTGAATTTTGGGATGGGAGGAATCAAGAGAGCACAAGTGAGGCTGTGAACGCATACTATTCAGCGGCTTTGATGGGGCTAGCGTATGGAGACACCCACCTTGTGGCCACTGGATCAATGCTAGCCTCAATGGAGATTCAGGCAGCACAGACATGGTGGCATATAAGAGAGCAAGACACTCTGTATGACAAAGATTTCACTCGAGAGAATAGAGTGGTAGGTGTTTTGTGGGCTAACAAAAGAGATAGTGGACTCTGGTTTGCTCCTCCTGATTGGAGAGAGTGTAGGCTTGGCATTCAACTGCTCCCCCTATTGCCAATCACTTAGGTTTTGTTTTCTGATGTTGGATTCACGAGAGAACTTGTGCAGTGGACATTACCGGCTTTAGGAAGAGAGGGAGTTGGAGAAGGATGGAAGGGTTTTGTTTATGCTTTGGAAGGGATTTATGACAAAGAAAATGCTTTGCAGAAGATCAGAAACTTGAACGGTTATGATGATGGGAACTCACTTACTAATCTCTTATGGTGGATTCACAGTAGGGGTGATGAAGAGGAAGAAGGATGCGGTGGACTGGGGAAATTGTGCTGGTTTCATCACTACTGTCACTAATCTCTTATTTTTATATCAGCCTGTCCCTTCGTTCATGGGGATTTAGTCTAGGCTTCATCCGGATTTGATTGCTAGTTTATACTTGATGTATGTTGTCTTCGGTTTACATGCTTCTACATACATTTTAAAATAAGATTGATGTATCTCATCAAAGCTTTTCCTACAATCATTTGCCTCATTGCTATATTTCTGGTGTTGGTTTTGTGGTTTCAGTTTGACAATATATGGCTGAGATTATCCAGAGCTTTTCCTGGACTTCAAACTTTTTCTTGATTAGTTTAGATGTGATTCTGCCTTTGTTTGGAATGCTGAAAGGTGACAAATGGAAGAGCAAATTTCGCTTAGTACCCGTGTTTTACGCGAATGCCAAGTTTGGCACTATTCTCAATTAACCCCCGAAACTATTTAACAATTATTTGATAACATCCCTTTTCATCAACTCTGTCAAAGATGAAGTAACAGAATACTATTGTTTTACGTTTTTGCCACTATCACGCATTGAATATTAACCGAGCAAGACAAATAGACAATTACTGTGTTAGCATGTTATTTCAAAAAGACAATAAAACCAACCAATTAAAATAAGAATTTATGTTATCAAATTTATTTATTTTTGTAGTTGATATTGTCCAATGGTTATATAACATGTGATGAGGAAAGTAATGAGGAGGGGACAAGTCAATGAAGGACGAGTGAGATTACCAAATTACTCCTGCAACGTTAATGCTTTTCAAACGGCATCAAGGAAAAAAGGTGGTTTGTGTGTAATTCTTGAAAAAAATAGGGGTGCATGGAAATAGCGTCAAAACACAGGGGTACTAAGGAAAGTTGCTCCAAAAATGGAATTTCTGCAAGCAGGTATAGTTTAAACTTTAAAGCCCTTTAAAATCAAACAACGAATTAAATTGTAGTTACAAAGCCCTTTAAAATCCCAAGAAATCCTATAAACCCTTCAGTTCCATTTCTCCATCAACAGTGCCTGAACCTGAAGCTGAAACGCCAGCCATGGAGCCGCGACAGTTCAAAAAGCGACCAACTTTACCATTTCTGTTCACTAAAACTGAGTCAAACTTACAGTCACAAAGCCCTTTAAAATTCCCAAGAAACCCTATAAACCCTCCAGTTCCATTTTCTTCATCACCAGTGCCTGAACCTGAAGCTAAAACCGGCGATGGAGCCTCAACATTACGAAAAGCAACTAACTTCACCGTTTTTGTTCACTAAAGCAAACTCAACTGTGCGGTGTCTCCTCTCATCTCCTCTCCCCACAAACTCTTTCTTCCAAAACTTCACGCTCAAAGCTGGTGATCAGGCCGAATATATCCACCCATATCATATTAAATCATCTCTCTGTTTACTATCTGTCTCCTACTCATATCGGTTCCACAACTCTTCTTTAATATACCAATGTTTCAAAGCTGATTTGATCATCTCAGGGTGTAAAAAAGCCGACAATTATTCTCAAAAAAGTCACATAATTTCCTCTTACAGCGATCTCAGTGTCAATCTTGATATCCCCTCATCACATCTTCGTTTCTTTCTGGATAGAGGAAGCCCTTTTGTGACTTGTTCTGGGCCAAGTGACATCCTATTTTGATATCAACTGTTCATTTTATTCTATCACTTGATACCAATAATGCACTCAATAAGTACACCATTAAACTTAACAATAACCAAACTTGGTATTGTATTCGTCTTCGCCGATCAATTTTAGCCGAAATGGTGTTTCTTCAATCATTTCCCGTGGGTTTCAGGCATTATTAGAATTGCGGTGATGCCGGATTCTGTTTCTCAAAATCAGTCGATTCTTGATCGGTTCTGTTCTTGTTATCCTTTCAGGCGATGCTGTTTTCCTTAAGCCATTTTGTTAAGTACAAAAGTATAGATGTTGATCTTGTAGATGTTGGTGATTCTTGGGTGGGTAGTGTAACCAGATTCGGTTTCGGCAACTTGGCATTCAATTAATGGAATTAGAGAAGAATCATATGCTGAAATAGTTTCAGCTCTTTCTAAGGATGTTGATGCCGTGCATTCAAGTCCTATAACCACGACCTATTTTTATGTAAATCAATCTAAATTCTAACATGAACTCTTCCTCTCAGTTGGTGCAATAATTTGAGGACATAATGAGTATGGCAAATCTGTCATTTAGCTGACACTCCAACTGAAAGAAGATATTCTCAAGCATATGTTGAAAAACATGTGGCAACGGTTTTTTACGTGAACTGGATGTTTTTTTCTTTCTTGCACTTCAAAAACTACTCTTGTCTTCTTCCCTTTAATCTCTTCCATCTCCAAAATCTGGTATAAAAGTGACTGACATAACCCCGCTGAAGTAGTTCTCTTCAAAGTTGAAACAACCCAACTCTTTTCTTTGGTTTTTGTTTACATTTATGGCTCAAATCACAACGCAAGGTCGTTTAAAGCTGCTTTTCAATGGTGATGGAGCGTCATTTGGTGTGGAAACAAGAGACCCTTTTCACTACAAGTTTCGAACTTTAAGATCAATTCAAGCTCCCAGGAGAAGGCTCGGGTTTCTTAAGTCTACCACAAGATTTTACTCTTCTTTCAGTGAGAAGAAATCGAGACCGTTCTATGTAGAGGCGAGTATTAATGTGAGTGATGCAGGGATTCAGGATAAAAGCGAAGAGTATGACAGTGATTTTGAAACTGATGAATTGGCTTGTTTTAGAGGACTGCTTTTGGATATCTCTTATAGGCAAGTTGTTTCTGGAGCTTACTTTATGCCTTAACATTTTTGTTCTTTTTGATTCTTTTAATGTTAGTTCGTACTTGTTTATTGAGAAGATGGTTTATTTACTACATTCGTTTTTGTTAGATTTTGACTTGGGTTGTGGGTTTAGAATTTTTTTCTAGCTGTTTGTGTTTTGTAAAGAGTTAATTTGACTTGGAATTTAAGTAATTCAGCGGTTTGTATGCAGTTGATGATGCAGGAGTACGCTTTTCTTAGCTATTATTCGAACCGAGTATTAATTTTATGATGGACGGCGTCCATTATTTTGTTTTTATGATTTTATGGGCGAACGTCCAAATATGGTGAACGTTCGTCGATAGTAAATAGACACCCGTCCATATAACATGGATGCGAGTCTACTAATATTTTTGTGGACGCTCGTCCATTCTTGATTAACGACCGTCCATAAAATATGGACAGGTGTCCATAATTGTTGGACGGTCGTTCATTCACAGAAGACGTGTTTTGTCTTCAATGTGATTGCATTTGACTAGATGTCACATCCTTCGGTACAAAAATTCGGTGCAAAAATTCGGTTTTCGTAGCATTATTGTATTTTAAAATGAGATTGATCAATCTCATCAAAGTTTTTCCTACACTTATTTGCCTCATTGGTATATTTCTGGTGTTGGTTTTGAGCTTTCCATTTACCAACGTATACCTGAGATTATCGAGAGCCTCCCTTTCAAATTTTTCTTGATTAGTTTAGATGTGAAACACACCGGAAAAATCAAACAAGTAATAGCCCTGCCATAACTAGCCCCATAACTTTTGTTATTGTTTGAAGAGTAAGTGACTTTTCCCACCCAAATAATGGCTTAATAACATTTTCTCACCCACAGACTTTTAAAATACCACTTTAGTACCCAAATTTATATTCTGTTTCTGATTCTGACATCGTTGCAACCCCCACCACCACCATTTTTTTCCCCTATCATCACTCACCAAAACCCTTCAAACCTTACTCCCGCCAATCCCGCCAATCACCAACAATCAAGCGATTAGGGTTTAAACAGCCACCCCTCCCAAGTCAAATTCCAATAAATCTCAACCGCCAAAACTAAACTTTCCACCACCAAAAGACTCATCGGCCTCCTCTCTTCAAAAACTTCAACAATCTAGACCGAGTTTGCTCTCTGTTCACTGCCAGAATATAAATTTGGACAGTAAAGTAACATTTTAAAAGTTTGTGAGTGGATAAGTGGCATTAAGCCATTATTTGGGTGGGAAAAATCGTGAACTCTTGTTTGAAAAAACAAAGATGCACATGTGGGGCTTCATTTTCCCTTTTTCTTTTCAATCAAGCATGGGAACTTCACCTATCTTTATAGGGAATAGATTATTAGCATTGGCAAGTTTCTGCTATGGAATGAGATGCCACTGGAGGCAGGAAACCATAATAAGATACACAATTTCAAAAATAGTCCACTCAATGTAAGTAAACTTGTCCAGCACACATCATAAAATTTCTTTCTACTCACACTTCAGCACTTCTTCACGTTAAACGTAAAAAGAGAATATTTCTGCCCCTCTAAAATACATAAGACAAACAAGAATGCACATAAGAAACAGTTTTCCTTTTTAAACGTTTATTAATTTCCTTAATGCTATCTTTCATTTCTCTCATCTCATTCATGCACTTCTCCAGCTGGTGAAGAAAATCGGTAGCCTCATTTCTATGTTCTTCAAGGTTTTGTTCGTAGATTTCACTTCTGGGTATGTCGTCTTCCCAAACCTGATACCGGCACATATTGGTTGATTGTGATGTCTTCATGACAAACACCTGAGAGAGGGACAGGTAAAGAACTTTATCAAACGCACGACTAACTTAAAAATAGTGTGTCAAACGCACTATTTTTCTATGTAAAAATAGTGTGTCAAACGCACGACTAACTTAAAAAAAAAAAAACTTAAATCTAATCTTTTATATTATGCCTAATTTTTCTATGTTCCTTGATTAAAAGAATGGTTTTTTTTCTTTTAGACTTTGATAATTAATCTAAAAATATAAAATTAAATATGTGATTTATTTAAGCTTACTCCTATATTGTGAAATATATACAAAATCATACATATAAACGACATCACAATATATAGTACTTTATTTAATATATCTCCATAAGTATAAATAAAACAAGAATAAATCATAAAATATCATCATCACATTATTCTTACTAGATCTCAAGTTGTATTATTGCAAATTCACCGTTGGGTAGGGAATGCAACAAGCAACTAAATCTAATAATAAACCAATCAATAATAATGCACAACTTTCCGATAATTAATCTCCTTTGTGATGAAAAATTACCTAGTCGTTATGTTACTATCAATTAAGT